TATATTGAGAAAGTTATTATGTTTTAGTCCTATTTAGGTAAATTACCCTTTGCACAATATTACATAAGAAGTTTTTGTAAAGTATAAGGAGAGAAGTTCAGGGTATTAAATATCTATGATGTAATGAATTGCTTGGTTTTAGTAATGAAGTTGTGATGCTTGTGCAAAATATATATATATACAAAACTGAAACCTAATTTTAGATAAACGAAAAACGGAAAGTGTAAAATTAAATGTGAATAACAAAAGATATTTTTGACCATTTAATACAGTATTCGAAATATACATTTTCTCTTCCTTCCAAATCGAGTTAGTTTTTCTCTTTATAGAAATCACAATAAATAGGAATAAAACATTGAAAAAAGTACCAAAATAGGAGTCTCATATTTTTATTCCTGAAATAAGACTCCATATTGTGGTAATGTGGTTGTAATGTGACATTGTACATGCGCACATTACTATACTTTTTGGTAATATATATGACCATGTTTGGTAATGTTAAAATATTTTAACTCCTACTTCGAAAATAAAAACATGGAAGTCCTATTTTTGGTATATTTACAATGTTTTACTCTTAGTTTAATCTTTTTTCCTTCTCTTAATTTTATTTTGTTAATCGTAGGTTTAAATAATACATTTACGTTATCTCTTTTTTTAACGAATGTTTGGTATAACTTTTAAATATATAAATTAAGTTAAAATTTTAATATTATCTAAATTAGTTGAATTGAAAATGAATTCAATCAGGTTTCATTGTTGGTAAGACTGTAACGAGACTATAGTTATGAGAGAGGAGTACATTAATACTATATCAACAAAATTTCAATTTTTTATTTCCTGGAGTGTAAAAAAATGGGGAAAAAATTTACCATATGAAGTTGAAATGTATACATAAATGCAGCAGAGCTCCTAGTTGATTTGGATTTTATTTATAACTAAATGAAAAGCAAATTAACTAGGGCTATGCTGCATGGGTGCACACTCACACTTTTAGGTCTGCAAGCGTGTGTTTGAGGCTTTGAGCAGAGGACTTTTAAAAAAGAAACGCTTGGGTGACAAATACGATGTGGTACAAAAGGCGCAATAAACTAGTGGGAACTGG